ACAACAGACATAGCCCCACTCCACAAAGGTGGCAGTAAAGCAATTGCAAAGAACTACAGACCGATAGCACTAACATCCCATATCATAAAAATCCTTGAGAGGTTCTAAGAAGCAAGATCGCCAACCACATAGATACCCATCAATTACACAATCCAGAGCAACACGGGTTTAGAGGAGGTCGCTCCTGCCTGTCACAACTACTGGCCCACTATGACAAAGTCCTGGATGCTGTAGAGGATAAACAAAATACAGTGGACCCTCGACTAACGCTATTAATCCGTTCCTGAGAGCTCATCGTTAGTCAGAATAATCGTTAGTCAAGTTAATTTTCCCCATAAGAAATAATGGAAATCAAATTAATCCGTGCAAGACACCCAAAAGTATTGAAAAAAAAATTTTTTAACACATGAAATATTAATTTTAATACACACAAACTGAAGAAGACATGCACAGTTACATGACACTTACCTTTATTGAAGATCTGGTGATGATTGATGGGATGGGAAGAGGGGAGTGTGTTGATGGTCTTAGTGTTTAGAAGGGGAATCCCCTTCCATTAGGACTTGAGGTGGCAAGTCCTTTTTTGGGGTTACTTCCCTTCTTCTTTTAATGCCACTAGGACCAGTTTGAGAGTCACTGGACCTCTGTCACACAACATATCTGCCCATAGAGGCCTGTACCTCCCGTTCCTTTATGACATTCCTAAAGTGTTTCACAACATTGTCAGTGTCACCATTAAACACTTGTTCAGGTTTCAGCCCTTCACTGTCTATGTACTCCTTGAATTTCTGCACATATTTTTCAGCTGCTTTTTGGTCCAAACTGGCAGCCTCACCATGCCTTATCACACTATGTATGCCACTACGATTCTTAAATCTCTCAAACCAACCTTTGCTGGCCTTAAATTCACTCACATCACCACTAGTTGCTGGCATTTTTCTAATTAAATCGTCATGCAACTTCCTAGCCTTTTCACATATGATCGCTTGAGAGATGCTATCTCCTGCTATCTGTTTTTCGTTTATCCATACCAATAACAGTCTCTCAACATCTTCTATCACTTGCGATCTCAGTTTCGAAAACATAGTTGCACCTTTGGCAAGAACAGCTTCCTTGATTGCCGTTTTCTTGGCCACAATAGTAGCGATGGTTGATTGGGGTTTTGTGTACAGCCTGGCCAGCTCGGAGACATGCACTCAACTTTCATACTTAGCAATGATCTCTTTCTTCATATCCATAGTAATTCTCACCCTTTTTGCTGTAGGGTTGGCACTAGAAGCTTTCTTGGGGCCCATGGTGACTTATTTTGCAGGTGCAATCACTAAAAAGGCTGTGATAATATGAAATGTTCTGATTGTATGCTTGGAAGCGACCGCGGTGGCTGGCTGGCTTGTAAACACTGGCCAGAAGTGGACGCGTCTCAGACGGAACGAATAGTGTTGGTCGAGTTTTTTAGCACTAATCGAGGCAAAATTTTTGCGATAAAATGTATCGCTAGTCAGATTTATCGTTAATCGATGTCATCGCTGGTCGAGGGTCCACTGTACAGATGTAGTATACACAGACTTTGCAAAAGCTTTTGACAAGGGTGACCATGGTGTAACAGGACACAAAATGCATGATAAAGGAATAACGGGAAAAGTTGGCAGACAGATCTATAACCTCCTGACAAATAGAACACAAAGTGTAATAGTAAACATAGTAAAGTCCCAGGCAGCCACAGTAAAAAGCTCTGTTCCACAAGGCACAGTACTCACTCCCATTCTATTCCTCATCCTCATTTCTGACATAGATAGAGATGTAAGCCATAGCTCCGTGTCTTCCTTTGCGGATGACATTCGGATTACCATGGCAGTGACCTCCATCAAAGACACCGCGAGACTCCAAGCAGACATCAACCAAATCTTCAAATGGGCCAAATTGCTTGTGCTCTCTACCCTGGAATACTGCTGTACACTAATGGCCCCCTTCATGGCTGGCGGCATTGCAGACCTGGAGAGTGTACAAAGAACTTTCACGGCACACATAAGTACGATAAGGCACCTAAACTACTGGGAACGGTTGAAGGTCCTTGATCTGTATTCCCTCAAATGCAGGTGAGAGAGATATACCTACATGATAATATACACTTGGAAGGTCTTGGAGGGATTGACACCAAACCTGCACACGAAAATCATTCCCTATGAAAGCAAAAAACTCAGTGGGAGATGCAACATTCCCCAGATGAAAGCAAGGGTGCCACAAGTACATTGAGAGACAACACAATAAGTGTCCGGGGCTCCCGACTGTTCAATTGCCTCCCAGCATACATAAGGGGGATTACCAATAGACCCCTGACTGTCTTCAAGAAGGCACTGGACAGGCACCTAAAGTCAGTACCTGACCATCCAGGCTGTGGTTCATACATCAGCTTGCGTGCGGCCAGCAGTAACAGCCTGGTTGATCAGACCCTGATCCACCATGAGGCCTAGTCTCAGACCGGGCCGCAGGGGCATTGACCCCCAAAACCCTCTCCAGGTAAACTCCAGGTAGACCCCTCTCCCCAACACCCTAGCATTTACTTCTTGTACAACCCCACTTATAAATATATTAAACAACCATGGTGACATTACACATCCTTGTCTAAGACCTACTTTTACCGGGAAGTAATCTCCCTCTCTCCTACACACCCTAACCTGAGCCTCACTATCCTCATAAAAACTCTTTACAGTATTTAGTAACTTACTACCTATTCCATATACTTGCAACATGTGGCACATTGCTCCCCTGTCCACTCTATCATATGTACCTTCCCCTCTTTCATACATTTATTAAACAAAAATACCAACCACTCCAACACTATATCCCCCCCCTGCTTTTAACATTTCTGTCATGATCCCATCAGTTTCAGCTGCTTTACCCCCTTTCATTCTACGCAATACCTCACACACCTCCCCCACACTCACATCCTGCTCTTCTTCACTCCTAAAAGATGTTATACCTCCCTGGCCAGTGCATGAAATTACTGCCTCCCTTTCTTCACTGACATTTAAAAGTTCCTCAAAATATTCCTGCCATTTACCCAATACCTCCAGCTCCCCATCTACTAACTCCCCTACTTTGTTTTTAACTGACAAATCCATTCTTTCCCTAGGCTTTCTTAACTTGTTTATCACATGTTATGGGTCAAGATATCACAAACAAGGTGAAACTTCATCCCAGTAGCTGCGGCTGTTTGGTGGCCAGAGTGTAAATGATTCCCTGTACAAGGAAATGCATATTTGTTTTTAAAGTATATAATAAATGGATACTGTAATACGTACATAAGTGACATAACAATTATTACATATAGAATATCAGAATAAACTGCTAATTTATTTACAAGAGAGGGGGGAAACTTACTGCTAGATAAACTTTTATATTTTGTTATTTTTTTGTATGTGCTCATAGGTATCAATACAGAGAGACAAAGTTATAAACAGAATGTATGTACTGTATTTGAAAAGAATCAACCATTAACTCTTTGACTGTCGCAACCCCAAATCCTGAGGTGTCTCCTGGTGTCGCCAAAAATTTAAAAAAAAAAAAAAATTATTTTTTGTGAAATGATAATCTTTTTTCCTATGGTAATGACACCAAAAGTGTGAAATTAGGTGGAAAACTTACAGAAATACACTCTCGCAAAGTTAGCGACCTCAGTGACATTTATGCATCGGTGATATCACCCACTTTGAGCCCTATTTTCGGTCAATTCCATTGTTCCAGTCCACCAAACTCGTAGCTATTTCCCTAGAACTCCATTTGTTCTATTGAATGAATACAAGAAAGAAACCGCCCATTTACCAATTTCAACTACCCAATAAAGTGGTCAGAAATTGGAATTTGGCCAATTTCATGCAAATTAAAAAATATGTCAATTTCAAAATAGGGTCCAGAATGAACAATGCAGACATTCATGGCACTAAAATAACATTTTCTCTGTTCATCAGTCACGTCTCCAAGCCCCTGTTATAATCCTCTTGCTTTCTATTTTGAATTTTTAATCACACAAAAAATAGAAGATTTACTGTTATGCAGACTACTGCAATATTGTAATACAGTAATTGTATAAATAACGTCAACCCATTCATGACTGCATATTAGAATGGCTAGTTGGACATTTATTGGACTATGACGTCATTTGTTTACTCTTGAACATTGGCAAAAATTGAACATTTCTGCCACTCTGAGCTCCATTTCAAGATCCATTTCATAGAAAAACCAATCAAAATCACTTCTATTTCTATAATATGTTTTCCATTCTATCAAATGAGCCCAAGAAAACAAGAATACAACCATAAATACTATACAAAAATACACCTCAAAGTCGGCGTTTTAATCCAAAAACACGGTCGGAGTTATTTTTTTTGTCATTATGCACTGCATGCTGCAGGATTTTTTTTATACTGTGCACACTGACCACACAGACCCATTCTCTCACATGTAGACCTACCAGCTTTCTTCTGCTTGATTTGAAGCCGCTAGAATTTTTGAGCATGTATATGTCAAACACATTGGCTCGTACGACGTATATATACGACAAAAAGTCAAAAGGTTAAAATTCCTTCCTAAAATATAAATTTTTAATACTACAATAAACACTGGGATTATGATCATAAAATGATCATTTTTTACATTAGATATAATAACTAAATAATTATATTATAGTGTATCATATGTTAACCCACACACCTCCCCACTGCTTAGCCATGAAGCTTGCAATAGGATGATTTTAGCAGCACAAGTGTGACTTGCTTGCATCAGCAGCATCAATTGTCATCCTACTGTCTCATCCCACAACCCTGGAAGTTTTCATGGTATCTGTTCTCATTCCCCTCAAAGGCAGATAGTCCATAAACCCAAGATAAGTCATAATGAATGTCAGTGAAAAAACAGAATGCTGGACAGTGACTTGATCCATGGTCATTGCCTGTAGCAGGGTTTGGTTAAGGAATGGCCAAGATAAAATAAAACTGACTTACTTAGGTTATTTCGTGTTCCAAGAAGAATAACAACTGCATCTTGTCCCTGAACAGCCTGGGCCACTGCTGATTCATCCAGAACATCGCCTACTTCCACTCTCACTTGTGAAGCTAACACTCCTGGTAACTTGGCTGGGTTGCGCACAAATGCGGTCACCTCATATCCTGCAATTTAATTATTTATAAACATTTTATCAATAAAGAATTCAGTTCACTAAAGCCTCACTTTATTTTTCCCTTCTTCCCTGTGTAAAGGATGGACAGGGAGAGGGTAAGTGCTTTAATGCTTAAGGGATTAATCTGATAAATTGATGGTACCCTTTCCTCCTGATCAAATGTGATTACTGTACTTCACATCTCTCAGGGATGCTCTGATGACAGAGAGGATACATTTGTTGTTGGCTTCGAGCATTTTTCATAGTTTTAACTTCAATGCTTGCTTGCTTCTCCAGAGCTACACAGACCTTACTCTGAAGGAAATGAATGGTTTCATGGTTTAGCCTTCCTGGGAACAACACAGGAAGGATAAATCATGAAACCACAAGGGAGACTTCACCTGTACTCCTTTCCTTCCCATGTGTTAAATATGTACATGGTTCCATGAATATATAAACAATGTATATGTACTGTACTGTCATGAAATATACAACAGGCAGGAGAACAATATAGACAAGTGCAAAGTTTGCAAATAAAAATAAGTGAAAAAAAAATTAAATATGGGAACAAACAAGTAAATAAAAGAGCAGGTAAGAGAAACAGACGTAAGAACAATAAGAGTGTAAGTTGTGAGAGAAGTGATGGAAACATGTAAGAATATAATTACAGCTAAGATGAGTAAAGGTTAGAAGAAATAAGTGGTGAATGCAAGATAAGATAGCATTTTGTTTGGATTTTTAACCCCAGAAGGTTAGCCATCCAGGATAACCTAAGAAAGTCAGTGCATCATTGAGGACTATCTGCCTTACTTCCACTGAGGTCCTTCAATCTTGTTCCCCAGAATGTGACCCACACCAGTCGACTAACACCCAGGTACCTACTTGTTTGCTAGGTGAAAGAGGACAGTAGCAGAACTCAATATGTGTACGCAAATGGTGCAAACTCTTCCACCCAACCAATCACAGTAGGAGTCCCACAGGGAACTGTCCTTGGACCACTCCTCTTTCTCATCTACATCAACAACTACTCAAACCCATATTATTTGCAGATGACACTACTTACGTCTTCTCCCACCCAAACCCAATCATACTTGCCAACACTGTCAATGTCGAATTGCAGAAAATATCTTCCTGGATGATGACTAATAAACTTACCCTGAATACTGATAAAACCTATTTCATTCAGTTTGGAAACAAAGCTGCAAATGTTCCACTTAACATAATGCTAAATGGATCACCAGTCACAATACTTGCAGAGGGAAAATTCCTAGGTATCCACCTTGACAGGAGCCTTAAGTTCCAGACACATATACAACAAATCACCAAGAAAATCTCTAAGACTATAAAAAATACGGTACTACGTTCCACAATCAGCTCTCCTGGCACTGTACTGTTCACTCATATATCCTTACCTTACATTTGGAATTTGTGCATGGGGATCAACAACATTAAATCACCTAAGACCTCTAATAACCCAGCAAAAGGCAGCAGTCAGAATGATAACAAATTCCCACTCCCGACAGCATACTCCACCAATTTTCAAGTCTAAATCTGCTCACCATTAAGAACATCCATACTTATTCATGTGTCTACTACATACACAAAACAATACACACAAATATAAACCCTCCACTCAAACTTCTCGCCAATCTTAACAGGACACATGACCATAACACAAGACAGATCTCTTTTTGATGTACCTCGTGTCCATACCTGTGTAAAAACTCTATGCACATAAAGGGCCCCAAAATATGGAATTCATTACCAGAAGATACTAAGGTAACCCAGTCTGAAAATTTAAGACTCTTCTCAAAAGCTACTTAATCACCCTAGACTAAATGCTCAATACTCAATACTCACATACTCAATACGTATTCCCATATCATAATTTCAACAATTACTTTCTAACCTTTTATCCTTGTGTCAACAGGAATATAATTGAATCATTGTTTCACAAAAAGCATTTTTGAATATATGAATATATATTTTGTTTTATATAAATTAGATTCACTTACAATTAATAATCTACTGTACAACTATGATATAATTCTCAGTGTTAAGTAGTCAGTAAGCCAATAATGTTAAGTCGGCCCATAATGCCTAGGCATAACAGAGGCTCTCTTTGCATTGCAACCCATTATTGTAAATACATAATCTCAATGTACTATTTGCAAAGATAAATAAATAAATAAATGTTTCCACCCGGCCAGGGATTGAACCACAGACACTCAGTGTGTGAGATGAAAGCATTGCCTACCAGATCATGGGACACCAAGGGACACAAGGAAAGATAATAATAAAAAAAGTCAGTGGGAATGATAAAACAAACAAAGAAAAGAGTTGCTCGATTTTCTCGAGCAGCAGTTAACCAGACAAGTTCTGAGACATATTGAGTTAGCAATAAAAAAATTATATTTAGACAAAGGCTAGGCTTTCAACACAAGAAAGTAAAGGGAGAAAAATTAATTAAGTATCACAAAACTCTTGGATAACTAAAAGGTAAAAAAAAGTAAATAGCAAAAAATAAGGTCTGATAGGAAAGAAACAACTTACAGCAGGGTCCCGCTAATACAGCAGGATAGGTCCTAGGCTACTGTTGTAAAGCAAAAATTGCTGTAAAGTGAAAAATAGCCTTTTTTCACTTTCAAATGCACGTAAAGCATGCTGACATGTTTACACAGTCGTATATTAAGTGAGCAATAAAGCTAGGCCTAAAAAATGCATATACAGTACATATATTATTTACCTTAAAATATTTTCACACTTAGTTTATAGTGTGTGGTGAATACATTTATTGTAGGAAGTCTGAATAAATGAAGAATGGGTATAATTGAAAACTGCTGTATTAGCAAAATGCTGTAAAACGGCTCACCTGTAAGTAAAATAAAGATGTGAGCAGACATCTGAGAATGAACTAGACATTGAGGAATTGTATAACATTTTAGAGGAACAACTTGAGAAGTCATAATGACATCATTGTAACAACCCTCAGAACAGTGGGGGGTTGGAAACTTTGGCAAGCCAGTGTGTTACCCACTGTACCACACTGGCCTAATAAGATTCATCCAACCAGTGCATTTCTATTGTATATAGAGACAGTTGGACCAATTTTATTTGGCTGACATGGTGCAGTGAATAACTTACTGGCCTGCTAGTTTTAGGATTGGCTTGCCATGGGTTCAAACTCCAGTCTGTTTTGTGAGAGTTTAGAGGAAAGCTGTTTATATTGGGCTGAAGAGATATAACTGTCCTAGATGTCCCGTAGCTTGATTGCTAGTGCACTCAACTCACACACTGAGGTCTGGAGGTCGATCCCCCAGTACGACTGGAAAACATTGGGATGTGTTTCCATAAGACACCTGCTGTCCCTGTTCACCCATCAGCAAAATGGGTACCTAGGTGTTAGCCAACGGTGTGGGTCACATCCTGGGACAAAACTGACCTAATTTGCCTAAAATGCTCTGCATAACAAGGGGCTTTCTATATAGTAGTATGTCACTGATGTCAGCTTGGCCTGTATACCTTGTATGTACATGTAATTGTAGCAATAAAGATATTATCATTGTTAATATTATCATACATAGCAACAACACTGTATTGCAACAGCAATTTGAAAACTGCCATTGCATTTTACAAGGCAAGGTCTTGGTCAGGAGAATATTCCAGTGAGCTGATCATTATCAATTGTCTTGTGTAGTCACTTTATACCAACCAAATGAGCATTGGAGAGAAGGCATAGCCTGCCTTCAGAAACTTGTCTCCAGAGTTGAATCAAATTAGGAAACTATCATAGAGCAATGGCACCAATTGGTATATCCTTCCATTAGATACCATACCAGGGTGAACCCTGCAAGATCACAAAGAACATGCTACCAAAAAAATGTATAATGCCGCATCCACTTTATAAACAATTTGCACATAATATCATAACAAGTACTGGTAGAATTTAATTATATGTCACAGATATAACTATGTATGTAGTAATTATATTTTGTTATTTTCTTTTCAACATATTCTTATGGTGTATGTACTCTAGGGTATTTGTAATGCATTGCATGAAATAAAGTGTATGGGTTTAGCTGTAATTACATTAATTATATTCAAATCCTTATGTACCATTAATATCTGTAGAATTTTTTTTTAAATGTTACCAGAGGTGTAAATAAAAAAAACATTGCAATCTAATTTGTTTATACAATACCATTCTACACAGATTTACAAAATATACTTATTTTTCACAATACATACTGTAATCATGGAAGTACATCCTGTATTAAAAATACTGTACATCATAGCAGAAGTCACAGTAAAATGAATGATTGCAAATATGAAAAAATACCCCAGTGAAAATAGGAAAACTTCAGCGCTTTCATGTGCTTACACACACGTGCATAAGCAAATGAAAGCACTCAGGTTTTATTTCCTATTTTCACTGTGCATCATATTTATAAATAATTTACTATGCTATTCATTCATTACACAGAATGAGTATAAAAATTACTTTTATTTTAGATGAATTTTTTGACATACTCTACCATATCTCAAAGTGCTTTTAATGATATTTATAATCTCTCTTCTGATTCCTGGATCTTTATGCCCATCATATTATCATTTACATAAATATTCTCACCTAATGCACATTAGCTTTCATATTAAAAATAAATCTGCACATATACATGATATTATAGTGCATGATAAAACCCAGAGATAGGTCATGACATGTACTGATCTAATATAAGCCTCTTCATTTGTTCTCTGTACTACTTAAGATAATTCATAAAAAACAATAAATTTCTGTACTATCTATGATAGTACAGAAATTTATTGTGCATTTAAGAGCAGCCCCAATTATAAAGGCAAAGGTCAATGAATTCAAGGAAAATTAGCTTTCATGTTTATAACTTTTAAATGGTACAGGCAATCACATACTAGATAGAGAAAAAGTTTATTTGGAGGATAAAATTCAAATAAAGCCTTACTATATGTGTCAGACGACATAAGTTTCCAAGAGATACCATGTCATATATTATGTATAATATATGACAACCATATAATGATTCACGTAAATGTCCCAGTCTAGGTTTGAAATAGCTCACTTTGATAGTACTGTCTGTGTCAGTTTATAAATTGCAATTGTTTTATAAATATATACATACTTGAACTGGAGTTTCATTACATCAGAGTCAAAACTGCATTACAATTCAACTAAAAAAAAACTAGACCAACCCCATAGGGTTGTACAATACATACCAGTATACGTTGTGTTTATTAGGATGCTCAGTATGTAGCTAAATAGTGCACAATTTGTTATATTATTCTGAAGTTTACAAATTTTCAAAATATGTATGTATTTAAGTAGCACTCCATTCACCTGCATCCCTTAATATTATTTAATTTGGCACTATATATCAAACTCCAATGACTCTGCATGACAAGTCCATAAATATGTAGTATAGAAAAAATAAAAAATTATAATATCTATTGTACTATCAGCTAATAAAGGCTTGTAAATTGTAAATGCTTCGTCATTCATGTACTGCTGAAAAGGGTCTCAGAGCTTGTTTCTGTCTCCATGTGGATACTGCACTCAAGGATTATAAACAGAACATCATTAAATGCAGTGAGTATAACTTCTATGTAATGTTTCATTATACAGTATAAACTTTCCCAAATCTTTAGACATTATCTAGCCAAACACTATAACTTATACATGTATTCTCTATCCTATAAAATATCCTATATACGTACCTGTCTGCAATGGTTGTGACTGCTTTAAAAAATGTATTCCTTCACACATATTAATAAGACATTTCATGGAACAAACCCACACGGAGACAACAAAAAATGTACTGTTTTTCAATTTCAGTTTGAAGGTCAAATATAGAGCACCTGTTTTGAATGTAGTTTAATCATCTCCATGTGGGTTATTCTGTGTCAGTAAGCAGGGCTTATTACAATTTTGAGTTAAATAGATTTCAAGTTTACCACTTCATTTTCCTCAGCTTTTGGAGCATGACAAAATTATAATTTGTGCTCGGTAAACATTACTATATGTTTGATGCTCCACTACAATGAAATATGGACAAATCATGAATTTTATTCTCCCTTGTATTCTGGTTTTCTCTTTTCTCTAAAAGCTTTCAGCCCCTCAATTCTATCTCTGGTGGGGATTACTTGAGCATAGCAGGCTTCTTCAATAGATAATCCCGTACCAAGGTCTACTTCCAAGCCTCGCGAGATGGCTGTTTTTGCCATCCTAACACCAATGGGACCATTTGGGATGATTGCCTTAGCAATTTCCAAGGCTTTATGGTATGCTGCATCTTCCATTTCATTCTGAGGAACAACATGGTTAACCAGGCCAATTTCTGCTGCCTGTGTTCCATTCAGTACTGCAGCTGTATAGATCAATTCTTTGGCTTTTGCGGCTCCAATAATACGGGGAAGTCTCTGCGTCCCACCAGCCCTGGGATAATGGCTAGTTTTGTTTCCACAAGTCCCATTTTAGCAGAATTAGCAGCCACACGCAGATCACATGCAAGAGAAATCTCTAAGCCCCCTCCTAAAGCTACACCATCAAGAGCTACAATTACTGGCACTGGAAGGTTTTCAAGATCAGAGATACAATTACGAGCTTTAGACACAAATGGCCCAACTTCTTCTGGTTTCATTGTTGCTCTTTCTTTTAGATCTGCTCCAGCACAAAACACTCCAGGTACCAGTGATCTCAAAACAACTACTCTCACACTCTTATCATGTTGCACATTTTCAATGGCCTCAGTAAACTCTTTCAACAGATTCTTGCTAATTGAATTTTTAGCAGCTGGTCGGTTGAGGCCAAACACAATAACTCCTTCACAGTCTCCTACTAATTTTTCCACTACAATATCAGGACTATTTGAGCAAATTCCACGGTTCAATATGGCTAATCGTGTCCTTCGTAATACACCAAAAGTGGATCTTGCCCCACGGAGCATGTTGATGCTGGTATAATACACCATACTTCAATCTGTCTCAGATCAAGTTATCCTGAAAATTTAAAAGAGCAGTAAATTCATAAGATCCTTGATGCTCACCAAAAATGAAATACAGTACAGCATATATCTGAACAAAACATTATGTACAGAACAGTACTTATAATAATTAGATGGAAGGCAGTGATGTGATAGCTAAACCAACATGGCAAATTACCCAACTTTAAAGAGTAAAATGAGTCACTTTAGGGCAGGGGTTCCCAACCTGGAGGGTACATCCTCCCCAGAAGGTGCAACAGAGTCCTAATGAAAAGCACAATTCCATTTATTTTACCCACAGTACTGTATTTGGGTCAATTTGCAATTCAAAGGTGATATTACTTTTGTAGGGAGTGCAACACTAATCAAACATTTCCTATGGGGTGTGGGGCACAGAAAAGGTTGGGAACCCCGCTTAATAATAATAATAATAATAATAATAATTAATATAATAATAATAATATATTTCTACAAGTACATGTACAAGGTATACAGGCCTAGCTGACATCAATGACATACTACTATATAAAAATCCCCTTGTTATGCAGAGCATTTCAGACAAATTAGGTCAGTTTTGACCCAGGATGCGACCCACACCAGTCGACTAACACCCAGGTACCTATTTTACTGATGGGTGAACAGGGACAGCAGGTGTCTTATAGAAAAACATCCTAATGTTTTCCAGTCATACTGGAGATAGAGCCCCGGACCTCAGTGTGTGAGCTGAGTGTGCTAGCAATCGAGCTACGAGACACCTTAGGGTGTAAGTTGTTACGTTCACACAATAAGTATAAACTGTCAGGTTAAAAGAATAACTTCAAAAGAACTAACAATTACCTCATACAAAAATTGCTTTTCTTCCTTTCTGCAGTTGCATTTATTTAAAAACCTACAAATATTTTTGAGACAGTGTTATATATTTGTACAATGGTTTTAAGAGTACAGACCCAGTAGATGTTTTAGGCATTCAATGATACTATTTTTTTTTTTTTTTTTTTCAACAAGTCGGCCGTCTCCCACCGAGGCAGGGTGGCCCAAAAAAGAAAGAAAATCCCCAAAAAGAAAATACTTTCATCATTCAACACTTTCACCACACTCGCACATTATCACTGTTTTTGCAGAGGTGCTCAGAATACAACAGTTTAGAAGCATACACATATAAAGATACACAACATATCCCTCCAAACTGCCAATATCCCAAACCCCTCCTTTAAAGTGCAGGCATTGTACTTCCCATTTCCAGGACTCAAGTCCGACTATATGAAAATAACCGGTTTCCCTGAATCCCTTCACTAAATATTACCCTGCTCACACTCCAACAGATCGTCAGGTCCCAAGTACCATTCGTCTCCATTCACTCCTATCTAACACGCTCACGCACGCTTGCTGGAAGTCCAAGCCCCTTGCCCACAAAACCTCCTTTACCCCCTCTCTCCAACCTTTTCGAGGACGACCCCTACCCCGCCTTCCTTCCCCTATAGATTTATATGCTTTCCATGTCATTCTACTTTGATCCATTCTCTCTAAATGACCAAACCACCTCAACAACCCCTCTTCTTCCCTCTGACTAATACTTTTATTAACCCCACACCTTTTCCTAATTTCCACACTCCGAATTTTCTGCATAATATTTACACCACACATTGCCCTTAAACAGGACATCTCCACTGCCTCCAACCGTCTCCTCGCTGCTGCATTTACCACCCAAGCTTCACACCAATATAAGAGTGTTGGTACTACTATACTTTCATACATTCCCTTCTTTGCCTCCATAGATAACGTTTTTTGACTCCACATATACCTCAACGCACCACTCACCTTTTTTCCCTCATCAATTCTATGATTAACCTCATCCTTCATAAATCCATCCGCCGACACATCAACTCCCAAGTATCTGAAAACATTCACTTCTTCCATACTCCTCCTCCCAAATTTGATATCCAATTTTTCTTTATCTAAATCATTTGACACCCTCATCACCTTACTCTTTTCTATGTTCACTTTCAACTTTCTACCTTTACACACATTCCCAAACTCATCCACTAACCTTTGCAATTTTTCTTTAGAATCTCCCATAAGCACAGTATCATCAGCAAAAAGTAACTGTGTCAATTCCCATTTTGAATTTGATTCCCCAAAATTTAATCCCACCCCTCTCCCGAACACCCTAGCATTTACTTCCTTTACAACCCCATCTATAAATATATTAAACAACCATGGTGACATTACACATCCCTGTCTAAGACCTACTTTTACCAGGAAGTAGTCTCCCTCTCTTCTACACACCCTAACCTGAGCCTCACTATCCTCATAAAAACTCTTTACAGCATTTAATAACTTACCACCTATTCCATATACTTGCAACATCTGACACATTGCTCCTCTATCCACTCTATCATATGCCTTTTCTAAATCCATAAATGCAATAAAAACTTCCTACCTTTATCTAAATACTGTTCACATATATGCTTTAATGTAAACACTTGATCTACACATCCCCTACCCACTCTGAAACCTCCTTGCTCATCCGCAATCCTACATTCTGTCTTACCTCTAATTCTTTCAATTACAATGGATCCCCACATAACAATCACCTCCGAATGCGACCAATTATGTAAGTGTATTTATGTAAGTGCGTTTGTACGTGTATGTTTGGTGGTCTGATATGGACTAATCTACTTCACAATATTCCTTATGGGAACAAATTCGGTCAGTACTGGCACCTGAACATACTTCTGAAGTGAAAAAATATCGTTAACCTGGGGTCCACTGTATAACCCTACCGTACACTTTTCCTGGTATACTCAGTAAACTTATTCCTCTATAATTTTTACAGTCTCTTTTGTCCCCTTTCCCTTTATATAAAGGGACTATACATGCTCTCTGCCAATCCCTAGGTACCTTCTCCTCTTTCATACATTTATTAAACAAAACATAAGAACATAAGAACATAAGAAAGGAGGAACACTGCAGCAGGCCTGTTGGCCCATACTAGGCAGGTCCTTTACAATTCATCCCACTAACAAACATTTGACCAACCCAATTTTCAATGCTACCCAAGAAATAAGCTCTGATGTGCAAGTCCCACTCAAATCCAACCCCTCCCACTCATGTACTTATCCAACCTAAATTTGAAACTACCCAAAGTCCTAGCCTCAATAACCCAACTAGGTAGACTGTTCCACTCATCAACTACCCTATTTCCAAACCAATACTTTCCTATGTCCTTTCTAAATCTAAACTTATCTAATTTAAATCCATTACTGCGGGTTCTCACTTGGAGAGATATCCTCAAGACCTTGTTAATATCCCCTTTATTAATACCTATCTTCCACTTATACACTTCGATCAGGTCTCCCCTCATTCTTCGTCTAACAAGTGAATGTAACTTAAGAGTCTTCAATCTTTCTTCATAAGGAAGATTTCTAATGCTATGTATTAATTTAGTCATCCTACGCTGAATGTTTTCTAACGAATTTATGTCCATTCTGTAATATGGAGACCAGAATTGAGCTGCATAATCTAGGTGAGGCCTTACTAATGATGTATAAAGCTGCAGTATGACCTCTGGACTTCTGTTGCTTACACTTCTTGATATAAATCCCAGTAATCTATTTGCCTTATTACGTACGCTTAGGCATTGCTGTCTTGGTTTAAGGTTGCTGCTTACCATAACCCCCAAGTCCTTTTGGCAATCTGTATGGCTAAGTTCTACATCATTTAACTTATAAGTGCTAGGGTTATGGTCACTCCCAAGCTTCAGAACCTTGCATTTATCTACATTGAACTGCATCTGCCACTTTTCTGACCAAGAGTAGAGTTTGTCTAAATCCTCCTGAAGTTCCCTAACATCTACGTTTGAATCAATTATCCTACCTATCTTCGTGTCATCGGCGAATTTGCTCATATCACTAGTAATTCCTTCATCAAGATCATTGATATATATTATAAACAACAACGGGCCCAAGACTGATCCCTGTGGAACGCCACTTGTTACTGATCCCCACTCGGATTTAACCCCATTTATGGACACTCTCTGCTTCCTGTCTGTGAGCCATGATTCGATCCACGAGAGCACTCTTCCCCCAATGCCATGAGCTGCTACTTTCTTCAACAGTCTTTGGTGCGGAACTCTATCAAATGCCTTACTAAAATCTAAGTAAATAATATCAAATTCTTTATCGTGGTCAACAGCCTCAAAAGCTTTACTGAAAAAAGTTAATAAATTAGTTAGACAAGACCGGCCTCTTGTGAATCCATGCTGAGTATCATTAATCAAGCTATGCTTATCGAGATGGCTTCTTATAATTTGAGCTATAATTGACTCTAGTAATTTGCCTACAATTGAGGTCAGGCTTATTGGGCGGTAATTTGACGGTAACGACTTGTCCCCTGTTTTAAAAATAGGAATTACATTAGCCATCTTCCACATATCAGATACTACACCTGTTTGAAGAGATAAATTAAAAATATTAGTTAATGGTTCACAGACTTCCATTTTGCATTCCTTTAGAACCCTTGAAAAAACCTCATCAGGACCCGGTGACTTATTTTGCTTCAGTCGGTCTATCTGCTTCACAACCATTTCACTAGTGACTATGATGTTACATAATTTATCTTCTTCTGGCCCACTATAAAAATTAATTACCGGAATATTATTAGTGTCTTCCTGTGTAAAAACCGAGAGAAAATAATTATTTAAAATCGAGCACATTTCATTCTCTTTGTCAGTAAGATGCCCATAGTTATTTTTAAGGGGACCTATCTTATCCCTGACTTTTGTTCTATATACCTGGAAAAAACTTTTTGGGTTAGTTTTAGAATCCCTAGCAACTTTAATTTCATAGTCCCTTTTAGCTTTTCTTATCCCCTTTTTAATGTCCCTCTTAGTGTCAATATACTGATTCATAAGATGACCCTCGCCTCTTTTGATACGCCTATAAATTCCTTTCTTATGCCCTAGTAGATATTTCAGCCTATTATTCATCCATTTTGGGTCATTTCTATTTGATCTAATTTCTTTATAAGGGATAAATGTTCTTTGAGCAGCATGTATTGTGTTCAGAAAACTGTCATATTGATAGCTCTCTTCGTTACCCCAGTCAACAGTCAAAAGTACCAACCACTCCAACACTATATCCCCCCCTGCTTTTAACATTTCTGTCATGATCCCATCAGTTCCAGCTGCTTTACCCCCTTTCATTTTACGTAATGCCTCACGTACCTCCCCCACACTTACATTCTGCTCTTCTTCACTCCTAAAAGATGGTATACCTCCCTGACCAGTGCATGAAATTACTGCCTCTGTTTCTTCCTTAACATTTAAAAGTTCCTCAAAATATTCTCGCCATCTACCTAATACCTCCATCTCCCCATCTACTAACTCCCCTACTCTACTTTTAACTGACAAATCCATACTTTCCCTAGGCTTTCTTAACTTGTTTAACTCACTCCAAAATTTTTTCTTATTTTCATTAAAATTTCTTGACAGTGCCTCTCCCACTCCATCATCTGCTCTCCTTTTGCACTCTCTCACCACTCTTTTTACCTTTCTTTTACTCTCCATATACTCTGCTCTTCTTATAACACTTCTGCTTTGTAAAAACCTCTCATAAGCTACCTTTCTCTCTTTTATCACACCCTTTACTTCATCATTCCACCAATCACTCCTCTTTCCTCCTGCCCCCACCCTCCTATAACCACATTCTAATACTGCATTTTTAAAACTATTCCAACTATTATTATTATTATTAATATAATCAGAACTATGCAGTAAACCCATAAGGGTCATACAGAAGCTCTGCAAGTAAGTTTATTCAGGCGTATACAAATACAGTTACATAGATTATCATACATAGCAGCATATATGTAGAGAACCTAGGATAACCCAAAAAAGTCAGACAAAGTGACTTATTTCCATTGGGGTCCTTGTGATAAGTATTATTTACATTTAAAAGTTAAAAATAGGTAAGTGTCTTAACTATGTAAAAGCAGTTACAATAAAGAAGATATAATAGGGGAGAGGTAAAATTAGTAATTTTCATTTACATTAAAGAAAGGATCAGATTATAGTACATATATGTTAGATGCACATGAAATCACTCTCCTCCTACTCTGTAACCTTATTCATAAGGTACTTTTGGCTGTCTTCTTGAACTGGCTCATGCTATGACAGGCTTTGACATGTGCTGGCAGTTTATTCCACTCTTTTATTGCTGTACAGAAAAAATGTATGTGAAGCCTGACCACTGACTCTAGGTACACAGTGATACTATATATTAATAATTACTGTAATAATAATTCGGAGTTTTATCATTCTTGAGTAACCGTTTCCATAAATTCACAAGGATCCCAATGGAAATAAGTCACTTCGTCTGACTTTTTGGGTTATCCTAAGTAATTTACATATATGTCACTATGTATGATAATTATAATCACCTAAGCTTCTGTAACTGTATTTATGTATTTATGCTATGCATAGTATAAGTGGCTTTGGCATGCTGCTCTTATCTGTATTTTTTTGTACCTCTGTATGTGTGCTCAAATTGTAAATAAATAAATGTGTACCGTATGAAACTTACAATAAATCACTCTTCTCCCTGTCTGTATGAGATGTATCAAGCTTGATGCGAGGAAGAAGTAGAGTATTATTATTGCTATAACAAAAAAAGAAGCGCTAAGCCACAAGAAGTAGAGTTGCTCCTGTTCCTTTGATCTAGAAATCTTCTTCTTCTGTTGGGGTTTCAGGGCCACTGACAGCACACGCCGTATCGAGCCCGGCCGTCCAGTGCTAGGAGAGGGAATATCGACCAAAGTGGAAGAATGTCTTGACTAATATCATATGTCTCTGATACGTCCTGAAGCCAGCAGGAAGGAGCAGGTACAAGCCAATATCTCCTGACGGTCCAGAGGGCGAAATCCCTCCCCGTTGAGGAGGACAGGTAGAGTGAAAATGTGCACCCCAAGTGTGCGCAAGGCCGCACGGAGAGTAGTCCGTGCAGTGATAACGTGGGCACCACAGTAGGAAGTGTTCCACCGTCTCAGGCTGTGAGGGACACCACTGGCAGTACGGAGAGTCCGTCATCCGAAGGCGATATAGATGAGCCGCCAGTCGCGAGTGCCCGACTCGTGATCTAGAACTCTTGACCTTCCCATGAAGTTGTACCTAGTTCAGCTATCAAAACTTTGGGGGCCCAGTCCCTGGACCCATTACGTACCTCTGTAATCTGTAAATACCTTTGTAACTTGTCATGATTGTGACCAGACTTACCTGGAGTTCATTACCTTTGTAAATTGTGAGTTCATTACCTTTGTAAATTGTGAGTTCATTACCTTTGTAAATTGTGAGTTCATTACCTCTGTAACTTGCTCAGCTATCAAAACTTTGGAGTCCAGTCCCTGGACCAATTATGTACCTCTGTAATCTTTTGACTACCGCCCACAGGATGGGTATGGGGTGCATAATAAACATATTAAACTAACTAACCATGAAGTTGTTGTTGTTGTTGTTGTTGGGTTTATCATGGCCACTGACAGCATAAGCCGTATCGACCCCGGTTTCTCGATGGTATTCAATTCAATTCAATTCAAGTTTATTCTCTATAATGGTTACAATGTGGGGTTTACAGGTTTTGGGTATTTTGTGGTTTACATGTTATAAAATACTAATTACAGAGGGGGCCACTAGGACACCTAGCATGGCTAGGCATTTCGAGCAGACTTAGATTAATTCTTAATATTAAGTCCTTACAGATTATAGTATTAAGGCTAAGTGACTACATCATTATTTTGAGTTTAGCAATGTGAAGTTTTTGTTTTGGCACAATACAAGGTGTCTATATTTGAGTAACATAGGCAAACTTATGACTAGTTAGGATTTATTATTTTAAGATTAAGATTAGTATTTCTGGGTTTATATTATTATTATTATTATTATTATTATTATTATTATTATTATTATTATTATCAAAAAGAAGCGCTAAGCCACAAGGACTATACAGCGCTGCATCTGGGTTTATAGTCAGTGGGTGAGTTTTAGTTTAGTTTAATATGTTTATTATGCACCCCATACCCATCCTGTGGGTGGTAGTCAAAAGATTACAGAGGTACATAATTGGTCCAGGGACTGGACTCCAAAGTTTTGATAGCTGAGCAAGTTACAAAGGTAATGAACTAGATCTGGTCATAATCATGACCAAGTTACAAAGGTAATGAGCTCCAGGTTGAGCTGGTCACATTCATGAATAATTGCAAAGGTAATGAATCATAAACACATTAATCATGAGAATTTACAAAGGTAATGAGCTCCAGGTAGAGCTGGTCACAACCATGACAAGTTTCAAAGGTAATGAATGATAAACACGTTATGACATGATTACAATCATAGACAAATTACAGAGTAATGAGCAGTTAACAAACATAGTAGGGAATTCATCCAATGCCCAACAACAGATGTTGCTAGGTGCCTGTCTCTCCTCGGTAGACAGCCATTGCAAACAGCAGCAAGTTGCCCAGGAATCTGCTGCTTGCACGAGCACCATCGACCCTCCCCAAGAGGTCCAAGAAGCCAGTGACTCCGTTAGCAGCCCGATGGAGAGCTGTCCTAGGGACATGTCAGCGTCCTGGTGGACGCCAAGTTGATTGAAGATCCCAGGCCCTCGTGTGCACGGATGTTGAAGCTTGAGGAACTGAGTACACACTGCCTGTGGCACACCTGGCAGCTGCCTCGCGGTCGAACTCCACTATGCTGTCCCTGTAGTGGAAGTTCCTGTGAGCCCGGCACTCCCTGCAGTGCCATCGCTGACATCGTGGGTTAGGGGAGAAGTACCCTCTACAGATGGGGTGGCGCTGGGAGTTGGGTGGGTGAGGCGGGGGAGACGGGCAGGTGAGGCGTTATGAGAGGGTCACTGTTTACTACACATGCCCTCCCCCTCCCCCCCAGCGGAGAGGGGGGAGGCGCTGACTGGTCCTGACTCGACAACACCAAACCCTCTTAAAACTGCACAACACTTCAACTATTTACGCTGAAACGATGCACTGGGATGTCCGTTCGCTGCTCTGGTATCTTCTCAAAGCATTCACACTGAGTTCTGTTAAGTAGGGACCTGGTCAGCCTCTTTGACCAGGAGCTATCCTTGAAAATCCCGCAGCTAGCCCACTACACAACCTGCCGCGTCGGCCATGCCAACGGATCTGTCAGTGGGTGAGTGAGTGTAATTGTGAACCACCAGGTGGTTATCATGTAGTTAGTTGTCGGGGTGGATCAGGGAGATAAGATGTTTTCTAACTGTAGTTTTGAAAGTGATGAATGTGTCTGCAGTTCTAGAGTTTTCAGGTAGGGTGTTCCAGATTTTAGGTCCTTTGAAATACATTGAATTTTTGTAAAGGTTTAGTCGAACACGGGGAATGTCATCGAGATGTTTGTGTCTGGTGTTATGCCTGTGGATCCTGTCACAACTATCAAGAAAGCGTTTTAGGTCAAGGTTAATATTGGAATTTAAGGTCCTGTAGATATACATTGCACAGTAGTAAGTGTGGATGTTCTGAACAGGGAGTAAACTTAGATCTATGAAGAGTGGGGGGGGGGTGTTGCCAGGGATGGGATTTAATGATTATTCTTACTGCAGCTTTTTGTTGGGTTATTATTGGCTTTAGGTGTGTTGCTGCAGTTGAACCCCAAGCACAGATAGCATAGGTGAGGTATGGATATATAAGTGAATGGTATAGTGTGAGAAGGGCAGTTTGCGGCATGTAGTATCGTATCTTGGAGAGGATCCCCACCGTTTTGGATATTTTTTTTGTTATGTGTTGGATATGGGTACTGAAATTTAGGCTGTTGTCGAGGTATAGGCCAAGGAATTTGCCCTCATTATGTCTGGCAATTAGAGTGTTGTCGATCTTAATGTTAAGTTGCACAACACCTGCTCTGCTACCATAATATAGTAGGTTTTGCCAGTGTTTAAGTGTAAGTTTATGTCATCCAAGTCGATATTTCGAGCAGCTCCTCGTTAACAATGGTGTTGAAGGTGGCAAGATTAGGGTGGGAGATGACATAAGTCGTGTCGTCAGCAAAGAGAATGGGTTTCAGCCACTGCCCTGGAGTTTACCTGGAGAGAGTTTCGGGGGTCAACGCCCCCGCGGCCCGGTCTGTGACCAGGCCTCCTGGTGGATCAGCGCCTGATCAACCAGGCTGTTGCTGCTGGCTGCACGCAAACCAACGTACGAGCCACAGCCCGGCTGATCAGGAACTGACTTTAGGTGCTTGTCCAGTGCCAGCTTGAAGACTGCCAGGGGTCTGTTGGTAATCCCCCTTATGTGTGCTGGGAGGCAGTTGAACAGTCTCGGGCCCCTGACACTTATTGTATGGTCTCTTAACGTGCTAGTGACACCCCTGCTTTTCATTGGGGGGATGGTGCATCGTCTGCCAAGTCTTTTGCTTTCGCAGTGAGTGATTTTCGTGTGCAAGTTCGGTACTAGTCCCTCTAGGATTTTCCAGGTGTATATAATCATGTATCTCTCCCTCCTGCGTTCCAGGGAATACAGGTTAGAAACCTCAAGCGCTCCCAGTAATTGAGGTGTTTTATCTCCGTTATGCGCGCCGTGAAAGTTCTCTGTACATTTTCTAGGTCGGCAATTTCACCTGCCTTGAAAGGTGCTGTTAGAGTGCAGCAATATTCCAGCCTAGATAGAACAAGTGACCTGAAGAGTGTCATCATGGGCTTGGCCTCCCTAGTTTTGAAGGTTCTCATTATCCATCCTGTCATTTTTCTAGCAGATGCGATTGATACAATGTTATGGTCCTTGAAGGTGAGATCCTCCGACATAATCACTCCCAGGTCTTTGACGTTGGTGTTTCGCTCTATTTTGTGGCCAGAATTGTTTTGTACTCTGATGAAGATTTAATTTCCTCATGTTTACCATATCTGAGTAATAGAAATTATACTCATGGCGTTGAACTTCATATTGTTTTCTGCAGCCCACTAAAGATTTGGTTGATGTCCCGCCTGGACTTTCCCTTGCAGTGTCTGCAATGGAAGACACAGTCAAGCAATTCGGGTGTCCATCTGCAAAGGAAGACACGGTCGTGGCTGACATCCTTTGTCTATGTCGGATATGAGGATGAGGAAACAAGATGGAGCTAGTACTGTGCCCTTGTGTACCAGAGCTTTTCACCGTAAGCCTGCTCGAACTTTACTCTGTTGACCTGACCTACTCTCTTCTTGTGTTCATTTAGTGAGGAAATTATTAGCTCCATCGACCGACTTTCCCGTATCCTTTAGCCGCGCATTTTGTGCGCTATTACACCCATGGTCACACTTGTCGAAGGCTTTTTGCAAAGTCTGTATATCTGACATTCTGCATTCTTTTTGTCTCTAGGCATAGACCATGTCGTAGTGAACCCAGTATGAGACAGACAGGAGCGACCTTTCTCAACCCATGTGCCCTGGGTTTGTGTAACTGGAGGGTTTCTAGCTGGTTGGATCTGCTACTTAGAACCCTTTCAAAGATTTTATGATATGGGATGTTAGTGCTATTGGTCTTAGTTTTCTTTGCTGTTGCTTTACTGCCCCCTTTTGTGACGTGGGCTATGTCTGTTGTTTTAGTAACTAGGGACGACCCCCGTGTACATTCTCCCACTACATAGAGATTGGAAAAGGCTCGTGATAGGGATTCTTGCAGTTCTGATGAACACAGAGTTCCCATGAGTCTGGCCCTGGGCAGAGTGCATGAGCATGTCATTATCGCACAGTTCGAAGTCATTTGGCGCAGGATAACATCGATAGGCTGTGTTAATCAAATTTTTGTGGCTCATCTCATAAAAAACTAATTTTGAACTTCGACTCACAGTCTGGTTAGCGCCTTGCTAAAACTGGAGTCATATTGGGACTTGAGTAGCTCACTTCCATTTTCCTTTTGTCCTCTGTTGTAGGACCCATCTAGTTTTTAAGTAAGGCCCAATACTGGACGTTGTTTCTCGATTTTGATTGGCTAGGAGAAGAAATACTTTGGGTTTTCTTTCGATTTCATTTATGGCTTTTAGTTCTTCCCGCGATTCCTGACTCCCTAAGGATTCTTTTAAGCTTAATTCGATGCGTGCTATTTCCTCTGACGCAGTGTCTCCCTGCGAATTTCAGATAATTAGACCGCTTTTAGCCGCTCTGTATTCTTTTCCGTCGCT